GTCAACCCTGCCTCTCAACTGTGGGGCTGGGCTGACTTGTGTTTTTATGAAGGGAGGAGCTGAGCTTCCTGTTAATATGATCACATCTCACCTGGGCATACCCAGTAAGATTCCAGACCCCAGTTTTAGTGGTTGAAGAAAACATTTATGAGTTGGATTTGTGAATATGAACCTCTAAGAACAAAAACACAAGAATAATGTGTTTTTAATCCTTGGAAGATATAGCAAGGAAAGAAAAAATAGTATTTGTGTGGTTATAAGGAACCCCAACCAAGGCCATTATAGAACATCTTCAGTATTAGCCATTCAGGATTGGACTGTCTGGGGAAGTAAGAGGTTCCTCACCCTTAGATGTCATCAGTTTATAACTTGAATGATATGCTAAAACTCAGGTTGACTAGATCAACAGCAATACAAACAGAAAACAGCTTACGCAAAAGCTTGGAGGGATAGACCACGTCTTAATTATGGAATTGAAACTTATTCTCAGGGTGAAGTGATGAATGTGAAAGGAACTGGGTGACTGGGAGTTTTGGGGAGCAGAGTGGTAGCAACCCTAATCTGCGTTACAAGAAACTTAAGTTTCCATGTGGAAGACTTGGATTTTTATTCTCCAGGCACCGATAAACTGTGGAAGTCTTATGTGCTTAGGGCAGGGGAAAGGTCTGGGTAATTGTTAAGTGCATTCAACTATAAGGGACCAGATGGAGATATAAGATTATGGGCTTGAAATTAGTGAGGGAAGTGGTGGCATTGTGGGGCCAGAGAGATGAGGAGTAGAATCAAAGTGATTTGATGATTAAGATGAATATAAGGATTAAAAGAAAAATTCCAGACTCATATTCCTCATTTACTCATATCATCCATATATTCCCATTCCCCCCACCATCTAACCCACCCCCTCCATCCACTCCTCAGAGAGGGTGAGGCCCTCCCATAGGAAACCAACAAAGTCTGTCACATCACGTGAGACAGAACCAAGGCCCACCCATCCTGTATCTAGGCTGAGCAAGGCATCTCTCCATAGGGAATAGGGTCCAAAAACCCAGTTCATGCACTAGGTATGATACTGGTTCCACTGCTAGTGAGCCCACAAACTGCCCAAGCCCCCAACTGTCACCCACATTCAGAGGGCATAACCCTGTCAGTCTGCCGTCAGGGAGCTCCCACTTGCTCAGTTCAGCTACTTCTGTGGGTTTCCCCAGCATGGTCTGGACTCCTTTGGCTCATATCATCACTCCTCCCTCTCTACAACTGGACTCCAGGAGTTCAGCTCAGTTCTTAGCTGTGGATCTCTGCATCTGCTTCCATTGGTTACTGGATGAAGGCTCTATGATGACAATTGAGGTAATTATCGATCTGATTACAGGGAAAGGAAATAAAACTGAGTAATCTTAAAAGGCACTTTATCTCACAGTCAGAGAAATCTCCATGGGTGTCATGATATCTCAATTTCCCAGCTTCAATTACAACACGTGATCAATTTATCAGATTACTAAATGTCTGATCAGATGGCCAACACTCCTTTATGATTAAATTTCACAGATGAACTGGTTGAAAGCACAGCCTGCACGCATAACACTGATGCAAACCACATACGTAAGTGATTTGTCTCCAGATTGTAGCTTTAGGGCTTCTTAGATGAGTTCTGAGGAAATATGCTTATGAGTAAAGTTTGGTAAACGTTATTAGTAATAACTTTCAACATACTCAGGTTTTACCTGTGTTAATGTTCTATGGAGATGTATCCAATGGTGTGTTTACCACATAACTATTTCATACTGTAGGTAAGGGTAAATATTGATAATATGAAAAATGTGTTTGCACACCTGAGGTAAAAGAACACTCCATCATGACAGAATTTTTTTGTATAGCAATAGTAAACTATTGAGGGTTTATCCTTCCTATGAATACAGCAAATACAGAGAGAATGAGACACTGTCAATGTGTACCCAATGATTGTTCATTTTCCATTTCACTGAGCACGGGGCACTGGAAGACAGCCGTCCTGTAAACCTGACAACCACCCTCCTGTCTCTTCTGCATAGTGGTCCTCTCAGCCTTAGCTCAGCAAGTGTCCTTCAACTTTGTCTCATGATAAATGCTTGCAGTATACACGTGGCTCCTCTGGGACATCGCCACTAGAACTTTGCTATGGAAAGCTTGGGATATTACTGAATAAACCCTGTGTCTATTCACAGTTAAATGTATGTCATCCCTGGAAAGGCTTCTGTGATCGTGCATCTTTTGCTTGGAATAGATGCACTTGATTTTTCAGAGATGCTGGCTTGTTTGTGTCTTTTAATATAGCACAAAACAGGAGAGCCATATCCAAACCCAGGAGGATAAACTAGTCACTGTTTACCAAATGCAGTTTTCAGTTCCTTCTTCATATGGTTTGGGAGGAGGATGACCCCAGAAGAGATATCGCTTGCAGGTTTTATGATAAAGAGGTGCTATGGTTGATGCTTAGTCATTCGAAGGCATTGTTTATTAATTCACACATAAACTAAAAGAATGCATGTTCAGAAAGTCAGGTCTGATGGCTACTTATAATTGTGTCAAGTTGGCTGGTCCAAAGGGACCAAATATTTAATCACACATTACATGTTTCTTGTGACAGTGTAGTTTTACATTTTAGTTGTATTAATATTTTCCTCTAGCCTAATCACAGTTCCCCCCTTCCTTTTCTCCCAATCCCTCCTATCAACCTCCTTTCCCCCCCCCCCCACTTCTCTGCCCACTCCTACTTTCTCTTCAGAAAAGGACAGGCTTCCCATGTGTATCAGCCAGCCATGTTACGTTAAGCAGCAGTAAGACTAGGCACCTCCTCTCTTGTTGAGGCTGGAAGAGGCAACCCAGTTAGAGGAAAGGGTAGAAAACTCAAGTAGAAGAGCCAGAAACAGCCCTTGATCCCACTGTTAGGAGTCCCATAAGACCAAGCTCACAACTGTAACTTATATACAGAGTGTCTAGGTCAGTCCCATGTAGCCTGTCTGATTGGTGGTTCAGTCTCAGTGAGATTCTATGAGCCCAAGTTCATTGATTCTGTGTTTTTCTTATGGTGTCCTTGGTCCCTCAGGCTCCTCCAATCCTTTCTTCCCATTGGGGGTGCATTTCAATGAGACTTTAATTAGTGAGGGAGTGAATAAAGCACGTTGCCCTTGTCAATATGGGTGGACCTCCTTCAATCAGTTAAAAGCCCAAATACACAAACAATGACCTCCTTTGAGTAACACAGACATATATAACCCTACTTCCAATGCACATTCACACAGATCTGGTTGGTTCTCTGTCCTGGAGGACTTTGAGGAATACATTTGAATATGGAAATCTTCATCATAACAGTATTAAAACGAATAAAATCAAGATGGCAGTAAACGGTAATATTGGTAGTAATACTAACAATGAAACCTCCTGATAGGGTGAACTATTACAATGTCAGTACCTTGGCCATAATATTGTTCTAAAAGCACAATGACCATCATGTGTGTTTTCAAATGTTAGTGAATACATAATTGATATTCTTGTACTTCGTAGGAATGCTCAAACGCCTCGTGTCTACGTGTATAAACTTCCAGATATAGTTGAGACAGTCAGAGATTCAGCTAGACCTATAGACGTTAGACAGTGCTAGAGGTGGTAGCAGATCTCTGAAGGTCTCTCGGAGGAGCTATCCGCTTTTCCTGGGGAAGTAAGACCAGACATTAAGATCCCATCTATTGTACCCTTTCTTTTAAAGTTATTTTTTCTACAATATTAAAAATGGTGCTAAAATCATTAACTGATGAAGCAAGATCTTCTTTGGTCAGTTATAAGCATGAGGACCTCCTCATTAAAATCTATGAAAATCCAAAAACCTACTATAAATAAGCAATATTTTCAGTTTGGTTTGCCTAGTGGGATTTTTTATTAAATGCATAATCAGTGATATTAATAGTGACTCCATTGTAGACACACATATTAATACTTTTTCATTAGTCATTTTGAGTTGGAATTTCTGTAAATGCTAGAATTTTCTAATGTAATTTCTTAGATTCTTTTCCTTAGGATTGATTTTAGATATTGTCCTTTGTTTCCAAGCTGTTATGAAAGAGGATAAGTAGATTTTTTTCATTTACTAAAATAGTTTTGAATGCCTACTTGATGTCAGGCTCTGTGCCAAATCTTAGTGATAAATTACTTGAGGATGAAGTCTTTGTGTGGGGATTGCTTTCAGGGTGCTCTAACAGGTTACACCCTGAAGTAGATTAGGCTCAACAGAAAAATCAAGAAAAATTCCCTTTGAGACTCAATAGTTGAAACAAACAAGGTTTACTCTCAGTCAGCCATCATCATAGGTGGCTTTCATTCTCCAGGGGTAATTCCTTATTCTAGAACCAAGGCTGGAGGATACACATAACTGGACATATTATGTGTTAATGTGTTAAGGGGACTGAAAAAAATCAGAATTCATCAGCCCTCAAGCAGCAAACTTACCCTTAGCTTTTGGTCTGCAGTTCTAGAGATGTCTCGTGATGGAGAAGAGTCAATATGCCGAGTTTTGTTCATGCTATGAATCTGGACAGATATGTAAGGCCAACCATTCCTATTTCTGTACTGTTATATGACACCCTTCCCATGGCCCTAACTGCCCTCTGTGTGTGTTAATGCCTTTCCCTCCGAAATGTCTGGCAGCCACTGGTCTCCCCCCCACCCCTTATCTCTTTGCTTTTCCCAGGGTGCCATCTATTCGGAATCATACAGTATGTAGCCATTTCAACTTGGCCTCCTTTAATTATTTGCATGCAGTCAAGTTTATAGCATGCCTTTAATAGCTTAATACTGCCTTTCTCCTTAGCCTGGATGACATTCTACTTTCTGAATGAAGTTATTTATCACTCCCTTTCCAAAGGAAAACTTGGCTGTGCCCAGAACTTAACATCTATTCATAAACCTGCTACAAACACCTTTTGTTTACGTCTTCATGAAGACATAGCCTTTATACATTTTCGGGTAAGCAGCAAGAAGCAGAATTGCGAGTCCACACGGTGAGGATGCGCTTATGTTCGCCACACTGCATTCCAGAGTGGCAGTCCTATTTTGCTTCCCCAACAGCAGTCAATGCAAACTTCATGGTTCTACCCATCCTTGCCAGCTTGGTGCTAGCGTTCTGGATTCTGGTCATCCTGAGAAAGGCGAACACTGGACGCTTTTAGCTTTTCCTCTTTACAGGTGCAGTGCACATGCTTCTTGTTGCCTCTGTAAGATGTCAGATGCGTTAGAAAGGGGAGTCTTCGATAACATGTAAAGGGAACAATTCGCCAAAAAATTACCTCAAGTGATCTTTTCCCAAAAAGACTCGTGTTCATAATATTTTTAAACAGCATGCTATAATGGAAAATATTTTTTTTCTCAAACTGATTTCATCAGAGCTAAGAATTGTCACTGTAAAAGCATTCTAGAGTCACAGGCACACAGGCACACACCTGTAACCACAGACCTTAGCAAGCAGAGGCAGAGGGATTACTAAGTTGAGTCAGCTATTATTACAAAATTAAGTAGAATAGAACAAGACAAATTTGGCAGGTTGTCACATGGCTGTTTAACTTTATGTGTAAACCTGGAGCCCTATTCCCTGTGTGAAAAGAGGGATATAACAATAGAAGGTATTGATCTAAAATAATCTTTGCATGGGAAAATAATTCTCCTTAAATCACAGTGGTCTCTAGAATGGTTGAAGATTATCATTAAGTCTACTGCAATGGATACATTTCTGGAAGGTACTATTTAGTCCTCTTCTCGGTCTCATCTCTATCTGGCAAATCCTATTTATTTCAGCGAGAAATGGCTGGTACGCTCTATTGAAAAAGTCTTCAAGAATAGGTTTGATGTCTGTGAACTCAGTCTCTCTTGCTTACTTTTGGGTGTATGCATGTGTGTGCGTGTGTGCGCACACGTGTGCATACACACAGGCAGGTGTGCAAGTGTACATGCGCTTGTGTGAACATAAACATGAAAACAATGTTGGTTCCCTTCTATAATGACTCTTCACTTCTCCTTAGCGACAGGGTGTGGTGGTTGCTGCTTTGGGAAAAGCATGTTAGCTTGAATGCTGAGCCAGGCTCACCCACTTCAATGTTACTAAAACAGCATTAATGTTCTCACTAAATCACAGAAATGCCCAGTAGAAACTGATGCAGAAAGTGCTTATAGATATTCAGCAATTAGCTGAGGCTAATAATTTCTGTTTATGGAAGAACAAATGGAACCTAAGTGATGCTTTTAAAATGGCACGTTTCAACTGAAATGTGTGTCAATGTGTTCTGCTCTTAAGAGATGAAAAATTGCATTGGAAATTGTATGCATCTTATAACTACTTACTTGTTTTCTCAGACTAATACAACTTTGGGAAAACAATGCAGTTTTGACCACCCATACTTTGCATGAGAAATGCCTAACTCTGTAAAAAAGACAATAATATGATTTTAAAAGGCGATGACATAATCTGTTTAATGCCTTGTGTAATTAGATTTCCTATTTTTGTAACAGCATTGGAACAATGAGAGCGATCCAAAGAGGTAGATTTTTTTTAACTGTTTTTGAAAATATTTATTTCAAAGTAAGACTTGAAAGTATTTGAATGGGTGGAATAACTTCTTATTGGGACCATAATTGCAATGGAATAGAGGTTTGTTCTACCATGGGTACATAGAAACAGAGGTATATAGTTAACAAATCTAAAAAGTCAAGATGATACTGTGATTATCATTCCACTATACACCTTGCCTGCTCAAAGTCTGTCTTCATCAATTATTGTAGACAATTGTCATCAGTCAATGAACATTCAGGCTAACATTGCCACTTAACCAACTTTTAATCAATTCCATGGTAAAGAAAAAAAAGGAAATCCACATGAATTTTCATTTTGATGAAAATTTCATTCTAACAAAAAATATTAAGAATACATGATGGGGAAAACATTGTAAAACCCACTTGAGAGACTAAAACTTATGTTAGATAATGCCAAATTCCAACATCTCTAGGCTTTAAAACTGGTCTGCATTTTTCCGTAAGGGGACCTTTTGACCTCCTTATTGTAATAAATCATTTACCTTGAAGGTAATGGAGTGTGCCATACATTTAATGTGGCTCGTGGAGTGACCCTGGGCTCCAGCACTGGCTGATAACATCCCCCTCAGCTTTTCACATTACACTCCCCATGTCTCATCTTTATGATAGAAATGTTGGAGAACCTAGCACAGTGCTATAAGCAGAAATGCTTACTCAACACTAACCTTAAACTTTTATTAGAAACTTGAAGTGACTTACTGGTTTTCAAAGATGTTTTATGTTTCTAGAAATACTCCTTTTGGGCTCACCACAATCACAAAAAATATCCTTAGGTTTACATCTTGAAGACATATCCAAGAGCTATTCAACTAAAACTCATTATGTCCATAAAAAGGGCACTTACTCATTCAGGTAAAGAGAGAACTCCTTATCAAGACTAGGAAATTCCCTCAGGTTTTGAGTAAGAGGAGTGGAGGGAGCAGGCATAAATTAGGACCATCTCAGGAAACCTGGGAAATAGGGTTACACTCGCTGTTCATAGCAGTTAACATACCAGTGTGTCAGACCTGCTCCAAACATAATTGGCATGCGTTGGTACCATGGAAGTGGGAGAATGCCAGAGAAAAATGTAAACACTGCAGAATACTTGATGACTTACCAGCACCAAGCCCCTCAAAGAAGTTGGGCTGGCATAATTTGTTTTCCCTTTCAGTTATGGTTAAGAAGATCTTCAAAGTACCTTGCCATATATTCCTTAAAAGAGAGTACTAGTAAATTGTATTGTGTTTCATCACCAGATAAATCAAAGAAAAGTACAGAACTGTGACGATCAAGAAGGCAGTGTGGTTATAGGAGTATCCTAACCCATGGAGGCCAGTGTCAATACAAGGAAGCCTAGAGATGGAAAGATCTGCCAGACCCCAGGCGACCACCATAATGGTCCATGCCACTAAGCCGATAGCCCCATGGAGCTCACCTTATTTCTGTGCTGTGTGTAAGAAAGAGTGGGAAATGTAACGGTATTCCCGGGGTACTGTCTGAACCACCCAAATACCTGAAACTGGACTGAGGTGAAGATAAAGAGTGGAAATGACATTGAGAAAGGCATAATCTTCCACCTTGGAGAAAACCACAGCCCCCGTGTCACGATAAGTCCACAAATTTGCAAACACAAACCCTAGCATACATTTAGAACGATAAAACCCAAACCAGGCATAAAGATGATTGGTAGCCTGAGCAACAACAACAAAGCAAAACTAGCCCACACCACCAAATTGAAACCACAGAACTGCTGCCCTGTCAGAATGTTAGGGTTGTCACAGAGGACAATGTGAGCTTTGAGACAACACGAGGCACGATAGACCAGGAAGAGGACAAAAGGGGCCAAACGAAGAAGGCGGGCAAGGAAGGGAGCAAGGAGCAATGAACCTAGCCAGGCACGGTGGGCGGTGCGTGCCTTCAGCCTCTCCACTGAGGAAGCATAGGTAGGAGAATCTCTGAGTTCTAAGGTAGCATGAACTATACAGTAAGCTCCAGCCAAGGTTACAACAGTTGCATAAATAAAGACCGTGAATTTGAGAGAGTGCAAGAAAGTGTGTATGGGAATGGTTAGAGGGAGGAAAGAAAGGTAGGAAATGACATAATAAAAATTAATTTTGAAAAAACCAACACAATTCCTTAAAAAACAAAGTCTTCATGTCTTAGGGGAGAATGTTGGGGAAGAGGTGTCAGGTATCCTGATTGGTAAATGTAGCAAGTCTCCGTCTCTCTCTCCTTTTCCCTCCCTCTGCCCCTCCATGTCCGTTTACATGAAAAGTATTATTTGGATAGAGAGGCACTGAGTCATTCATTTCATCATTTGTTTGATATGTTCCACTGTAGGAAACTTGATGCGGCTTCAATGACGCCACATTACAGATCAAGAGAGCCTGTGACTCCTAGGTGTAGGATAATTGCCACCACAAAATATTTCATGAGAAAAACTCCCCAACAGTGTTAAACAGCAGTATGGGAATTACTCGAGAGAGAAGTGCATTTTTTTTAAAGTAGGATAATTCATAACTGAAATATTAACTGTAATAAATATGCCAGTATGAACCTTGATGTATCCATTTGGACATTTTCCACATCCCAAGTGGCCAGTCTAATACCAATTAAAGCATCACAGATTGCTATTATCTTCCTGCATTATTATTTCCATGAATTAATTTTGTCTTAAAAAGTCAGACCTTTTCCAAATGAGAATATATTTAAATACCTGAGGTACAAAAGTGAAGTTGAATGTCAGGACCCATAGACATCTATTAATTTCAAATTCTAAAAATAAGGAACCATGGGAACAATGCTAGAAAAATGGATAGCATAGCCAGGAAAGTGGCCTGTGGGGTCACCTGATCATGACTCTAGATGTTTGTAGAGAGTCCAGATAGTAGTTCTATTTCATTCTGAAGCTGCTTATCATTTTTGTTCATACATATATTCATTATTTTTTTTTCATTCATTCATCCATCCACATATCCATCCATTGTTTTAATCTTTCATCTGATAAATATAAGGGATCATGTCAGTGCCTGGAATACTGTTTAGTCATGGAGAAAGAAATTTGTGTTAATATGCTTTGCTCACGGCTCTTAAATATCTTATTATAATGAAATATGCCTAAAGTATAGATAAAGTTCTAAATATGTGCATCTTGATGCTATCTCATTTCTTTGGATGCTTAATGGCACTAAGAGAGACATGACTGGGTACAACAAGTTAGAGGAGTATTAAATGTGCATGGGGGGGGGGGTAGAAGAGCTCATGAAACCGGTAGGTTGATCTAATACTGAAGGTTTTTCTGTTTCATAGATTCATGTTTGTTTGTTTGTTTTTTCTGTAATATGGTATACCATTATAGATTTTACTTTTTAGGTGATGGAGGCAGAGAGGGGGAGGAGATACAAGGGACAAGACGAATCAGAGAGTTATTACTCTCACACAAACGAAACTGAAGAGTCCTTGATTAAGATAGCGATGGCAGAACAGGGATTGGGAACAGACGTGGAGGATGGGTAGAAACACAAGGGGCAAGAAATGTGTGGGCAATCGTTATGTCCCTAATGGGGGATATATGGAATTAAAGAATATTTGACAAATGAACGGA